GGGGCGCCCGCTCCCCAGCCGGCCCCCTTCGCCCGCCACGCTCTCCCGAGGGCGGCATTCCTAAGGACCAGCTCCTCATTCCGGGGCTCTAGACCTCCGCTCCCCAGCCGGACCCCGGGGAAAGGGCGGAGGCGAAGCTTCCCACGCAGGAGGCACAGGGGAGCGAGACAATGGTTTATTTCAACGGCCGTGTTGACAAGGCATCTTTATTTCCGAGCACACGCGGCCGTTCCAGGTCTTTGCCCCGTTAGGAAGTGTAAAGCGACGCCAGGTCCTTCCTGGTGCACACAAAGAGACCGATCGTGCGCATGTGTCTAATCCTCCTGCAGCCGGGGAGACTTGCAGTCGCGCGACGCAGCCCATCGCCAGCGTCCTCGCCGAAGACGCGGAGAAGACCGACCCGAGCGGCTGATGTATGCGTGCGTTTTAGTTAACTGGGGCTAAAAGTGGCTTGTGGCTCCTCTTGGGAAATGGAGACCAGAGCTATTATCAGCGGGGGCAAATGGCTTATTGAAATGTGCAACTTGTGAAGACAAAAGAATGCAGAACTTTCTTCCCTTAGAGTAGGAACACATGGTACTTACAAGTGGGTTTTCCTCCACTCTAAGGACATTTTAATTTAAAATTTATATTCTATTGTAAGATCCAAGGAAAAAGAAAGTGTTGGATTTTGACTGAAGGGAATATATGGATTTCTATTATAGCTTAGAACGTTTAGTAATTAGTAGCTCCGGATATTTTTAATTAAGAAGTCAATGTACAAAGATTGAAAATTTTAACAGTGACTCCATTTATAAAGAGTTTATATTTAACGAAATTTCAGAAGATCATGTTTATTTCTGCTTATTACAGCGAGCGGTATTTTTCCAGGTTCTCATTTAAAAGTTCTTAGCCTTATTTGAAACGTAATATAAAGAGAGAAAATTGAACTTGACTGTGGGAGTTATAAAAGCTCAAAAAACAGGGTAACGTGTTCCTCACCCCAACCAAATGAGCACCCCAAGGGGTATTTTCTCTTTTCTCATATTAGCAAAGTCTCCTTCTAGAGCCCAAGTAACCCAAGGAAATTTTAGCTTGCCATCACAGCATTCCTATTCATTTGCTTGTATAGAAGCTTTTTTCCCCTTCTACTATCCACCATGTAAAGTACCAGATGCTGGAGCAAATACTTAGAATAATAAATATGGTAAGGTCCCTTAAGCTCTCATTTTGAAATGGGCTCAAGTGTAGACCTTCCCAGAAAATTTGCATAAACTTTCTATTAACTCTGTGTAATTCCCTCCTCTAAATACCTGAGACACAGTTATGTTTTTGAATATGAAGACAGCTTTAAATTTGCAAATGCTTTAAACACATTATTTCATTCAGTACTCTTGCGACCACCTATGTTAAATAAAGGATACTTTCCATTTACTAGATGAGAAAACTGAGGTTCAGAGATGTTCAGTTGCAGAGCCTCTCAATTTCAAGATTTGGGATCTATAGAAATTTCCATGACTATATTGAAACAAACTTTCCCTCTCATTTATATAATATTTTGTTTTCAAAAGTCAGTTGCAAATTATTTGAAGTCAGGAGTTAGTTGGTCTCAGCAACAATCTTGGTGCTTGCATAATGGCCAGGTATGGTCAGTAACTGGGCTTTTAATGGTTAATACTGATTCTACCTACACTCATATGTTTATAAAGCTCTTTATGACACTCTAACATGATATTTTTCTATATTTGCTGTTTATTTTTAATTGCAAATATAGCAGTTTGTATATTTGCATTGTCTCTCTTTTTATACTTTTATGTATCTCTTGAAAATACTAGGTTACTTGTCATGTAAATATTCCTAATTTGAAATTTGGTTGATTGTCTTCTCATGTATCATTTAAATACATTCACCTAGGCCTCATATTTCCTGTTAAAGTGGCTCAGAAATTTGACTAAATTCTTTTTTTTTTTTGTAAGAATACATTATATGAGATGCAGTGTGTACAAGTTCTGACGATTAGGTTTGTGAACTTGCCACCATGGACTTACATTTGCAGCACTGTACAAATAACTAAATAAGATTTGATAACCTTAGTATATCAGTGTCTCACAACTGTGTTATATCGATTTTTGGCAGTGTCTTGCTGAGTGGCATTCATTATTGTTGTTGCATGTTTTTGTGTACCATCACGAGAATGTCAGAGCTTGAATTAGAGCAATGAACAAACGATACATTTCCTGTTAAACTTGGCAAGAGTGAAAGTGAAATGATAGACATGTTAATCCAAGTTTATGGGGATAATGCCACGAAGAAAATGACAGTGTACAAATGGATTAAAAGTTTTTCTGAGGGAAGAGAAAGCTTACTGATGAAAGCTTAATGATGGTGGCCAGTAACAACTAGAACTGACAAAAAACTTTGCAAAAATTCATCAAATTGTGTGTCAAAATCATTGACTAACTGTAAGAAGCATAGCAGAACAAATAACAATCAACATAGAAACAGGAAAATCTTAATTGAAAATCTTGGCATGAGAAAGATGTGTGCAAAAATTGTCCTTAAGGAGGTCTTGCATCATGACGGCACACCAGCTCACACAGCACTGTCTCTGAGGGAGTTTTTATCTAGTAAACAACTATATTGGGACACCCTCCCTACTCAGCTGATTTGGTCCCCAATGACTTTTTTCTATACTCAAAGATAAAGGAACTATTTAAAAGGAGACAGTTTGGTGACATGCAAGACATCAAGGGTAATACGATGACAGCTCTGATGACTATTCCAGAAAAGAGTTCCAAAATTACTTTGATGAATGACCTAGGCACTGGCATCGGTGCATAATTTCCCAAAAGGAGTACTTCAAAGGTGACCATAGTGATACTCAACAATGGGGTACGTAGCATTTTTTCTAATATTAGTTCATGAACTTAATTGTCAGACCTCATATATTTTAATACTTTGCTGAATCACATCAAAAGGAACAACTATCTGGCTGTCTAGTTGATTAGAGGGTTAAAGTGTTATCATCCTAATCCATACATTTAAAAGTTATAAAATAGCTCCCTGCTCTCCTGATGGTTTATTTTGCTTTGTAAAAGCTTGTCAGTTTGATGAGGCCCTACTTTTATGTCCTCTCTTATGACATATGCTTTTGGGGTTATGATCAAGAATTGTTGCCTATCCAATGTGCATAGGGGTGTTTCCTGCGTTTTCTAAGATTCCTATTGTTGGAGGTTTTACATTTAGGTCTTTGATCCATTTAGAGTTCATATTTGTGTATGGTGATAGGTAGGGGTCCTGTTTCATTCTTCTGCATGTGGTCAACCGGTTTTCCCAGCACCATTTTCTGAATAGGTTCTCCTTTCCCAAGTGGTGGAGGCTTTGATGAACATGAGTTGGTTGAGAAATTGAGATTTTGCTTCTGGAATCTCTATCCTGCTTCATTGGTCTATATGTCTGTTCTTGTACCAGTATCAAGCTGTTGTTTTGATAATTGTAGCCTTACAATAAAGTTTAAAGTCTGAGAGCATGACACATTCTGCTTTCTTTCTTTTGCTAAGGACTGTTTTGGCTGTTTAGACTCTTTTTTGTTTCCAGATGAATTTCTGTATTGTCATTTCCAGGTCTGAGATAAATGATGTTGATAATTTTATGGGTATTTCATTGAAACTGTAAATTGCCTTGGATAGGGTAGCTATGAGGGAGGGAGGTGGGGACACATGACATCACTTACGATACCTGTTCCTAAGCCAAGGGGGTGTGAGGACCAGTGGGGGGCCCAAACTTCACCTGTACATAGACCATTCAGGTAGGTAATCCTGATTTGCACACCATATCTTTAAAATAAAATAAAGAAGGGGAAAAAAGAAAAATAAAGGACTTTGTAAGATTTTAAAAATTATAAAATATAAATATAAAAACATAAATGATCGAATGTATAAAATAATAAAATTATCCACTGACCTTCCACTCAGTGGTTTTTATAGCCACTGTCATTGCTTAGATGCCATATTTCCCTGGGAAATGCAATGTTGTAGTTTTCTAATTTGACTTTGTTCTTGAATTCATGAGCTTTTGCTTTCTTACTAAAACCAAACCAAAACAAGCAAACAAATCTTTTCCTTTATAGACTAAAGAATTGCCCTAAACAAAGGCCATATTTTAAAAAAAGACAAGATATGTACTTGATTCTTAACATTTATCAACCAACTTTCAGAAATATTGAGTGTGTTCTTGTAAACTCAGAATAAGCCTCTTGCTCCCTCTGGAATATCATTTTTTTAATGTAGTTTTGTATATTTGACATATTTTGATGCACCACAGTAATTATTCTTTTTGGTGTTTGAATTATCCCATCTTAGATCAGAAGGAGGTGTTTCAATTGACTTTTTTGTGTGTTTTGAACAGGCATCCATGAACCTTTGTAGCCTCAATGTGGTCAGTCACAAGGTATCCCACTCCAGACCTGGAATTCATTCTTTCTCTTGGAACCTTTCCTTGCTTTAATGAGAAATGAAATGCAGTTTCCATAATCTAGTTGTTAGATTTTTGTTTGTTTGTTTGTTTGTTTGTTTTTTCTACTACTTTAAGTTTTTGGTTTGCAAAGCATGGAGGTATTTTTATTTTAGAAATGCATTTCAAAAGAAATAAGTTCTCAGTTTTTAAGGATGTGGCCAATTCAAACAATGCTGACAGATGTCATTAAAGATTGCTTCTTTTCCT